TCATAGGGCTGAAAAATCTAGAATTAATTCTGAGATATATGGTCACCAATGAAAAGCCAGAAGACCATGGTCCAAAAGAAGATGCTTTTGGTAATGAGGCTGTCATGAGACTCCTGCATGGATTACTGGCTCTCACTCTTGGACAACTTTATGAGATTGATATAAGTATGTCCGCTACCTGCACAAGTTCCCACAGGTTGCTGTGTCTGTACTATAGCTAAGCAGAATAAATCATGGTATGGGAAAACAGCTTATTATACTATCCCTGTGTCAGTGAATACATCATTTCATTCTATCTATCAGGAAAGGGGAAAATTGTGCACTTCAAACTCCTCATCTGCAAGACACAATTTCCATACTGGGTGCAAGAAGTGGTCCAGGTGAGAACCAGTAACACAGTCAGAAGAGATGGGGCCAAAGCCCTGCTCTCTGCATTGATCATCCCAGAGTCCTGTCAGGAGGAACACACCATGTGTGCACTGCAAAGGGGCACAATGTCCATTTCAGCTGTTACAGGATGGTGACTCTTCTGTTCTAAAGACATGCTGAAATGTTCTCTGCACTCCTGAGTGGCTGACAAAACACCGGTTAATACCTCTCTTACAGAGATTTAACAAGTTCTGTTGTAGTTAGTAAAGTCTACACTGACCCTGAGTAGTGATGCTTTAATTACAGTCTCCCATATTTAATTTCTCTTTTTTAGTCTCAGTGAACACACTTATAAGCTTGTCCAATCAATTGGTGACAAAAGTTAGGTACACTGGGAGCAGAAAACCTCAACCAGGGGAATAAGAAAGAGGAAGCCAGCAAATTCAAGACTGCTCTTACATTATTAACTGCTGATGCCTATTTTAGAGAACTAAACCTGACCTATGACTACAGCACACTTAGTATGGTAAAGACACATATTACTTCTGCTCCAAAGAACTGAAAAATGTGGTGGGTTTTTTTTTTCTTTTTATATGCTCTTATTTTAAAAAGGCAGATATTTGCATTTTGTGCACTGGAAGTTAGCAGTGGACTTAAAGCTTACCTGCTGGAAGTAAATTATGCAGGCAGACAGGCACTTAGGTACCTACATGCAAGGATTAATACCTGCAATTAATCCCTGGTGCAATTTACAGCCTGTGCAGACACAAATCTGGATCCCTAATCACTAGTGCTTTATCCACCGCAGGTTACATAATTCACAGCTTCCACTGCTTCCTTGGGAAGTTCTTCCACAGGGTGAAAATCGTACCATTTCTCCTCTTTGTTCATGGGTGAACAACAATGAAGTGCGTTTCCATCCACTGATAGTGGCTTCCAAGCTGTATGATGGGGTCAGTGCCTGGACTGCTTATGAGAATAACTGTTTTCCTAATACTGATACCAGACCAGGTCTAACAGGCCAGCAAAGGCTCTTTTACACATCTCGCTGGAAGTTTTTATTTTAACGGATTTCACCTATCAAATTGTTTCTCACTGCAGACATGGTAAACAGTTTTTCCTATCAAGAAGTCGGAGTATTCATATTTAGAATATATTTAAAGTGTCACATTACCTCGAAGTAGTAGCTTTATTAACATGGATTTAGAAAGAGCCTAGGGTTTTTCTTCTGGATGCCCTCACAATATCTTTGAGTCATCTTCCTCTTGTTTATTGCACATGCAGGCTCACACTATAGAAATTATCCTGAGCACAAATAAAGTCCCTTCCAAACATTTATCCAGAAAGATGTGTTATTTATAGACAAGTTGTTCAGCTCTGGGAGAGGGTGCTCTGCTTCAAGGGGCTGCAGGTGACGGTCGGTGCTGGAGCTTCTTTTAAAATGGGAACAAAAACATGAGTGCAGAGGTTAAAATAATAAAAAAAAAAGGTCTAAACCTAGGAACACACTTTTTTTTCTTTTTTTTTTCCTGTCAGGATACTATGTGCTGCTGAGATACAAGAAAATGGATACAGGAGGATTCTAAACAGAGAAGAAATGGGAATGTTAACAGAGTATCAGTGGATAGGCTTAGTGAGGTTTATCAGATTTAGATAAAAGAGAGGATAGATATCAATCCTCCACAAGCTCTTAGAATTTAAACAGCTAACACATTTGTTCTCATCCATGAGGAAAACATCCTAATTTGACAAGCAACCTCACTGAAAATGTTCCCACTCCAGCCATTCAGCAGTGCCTCCTGTTTCCTTCTCAAAGTGAGTTTAATGCCTCTGAAAGGTGCCGACTTGACAGATCTTAGGACTGAAAGCGTCTGATGCTTGCACTCACCCAGGAAGCTCCAAGTTTGCCTGTCAGTGCCTTTCTGCCCAGTCCCCTGGCCAGCGAACAGCCCATCCCACATTCCCACTCAGCAGCAAACTCTCGGCAGAGATTGTCAACGTGCACCCACCAAGCTGGCAGCCTATGCGGGAACAACACTCAGTCATAAGCAACTAAATGAAAGTCACTAATACACTTCACATGAGTTACCCAACAACCATCAGAAGGCAGTAATTTGTCCTTGGATTAAATTTCCCATTTAAAGAACCTGCATGTGAACTAAAAACGTGGAAGATAAGCAAAACTAGAGATGCTGACACATCCAGAATAGAAACACTCAGCTATTTCTAAATCCATTAATAGTATCATTATCCTGAAATTATGTGACATTCAGAACATATTTATATTCATTGTGGGGGTTACCTAGAGCCTTGAAAAAAATAAGTTCAAAGCAATTTCAAGTACATTTTTGTTATAATGAAAGACTCCATGAGACAATTCCTACTGGTGTAAGCACCAACAGCACTGAATTAGCGGAGGCACCCACCAGTGTAAAAATGGTTTAATTTCAATAACTCATATTGAGAAAAGAATATTTTTTTCAGTAGCAGTAACAATTATCTTCTGAACTTGTCTCTAACTCAGGCCTCGCTATCAAAGGAAAAAAAAAAAGCATATGCTATAGAGAGAACACTAAGTTTAATACAGAAAACAAATAAGACTTTTGAAAACTGCCAAAACATCATTAGCTTAAAGGACGCAGGACCATGGGTCTAAGCACATCACCAATTTACCATTTCATTATAATTTATTACTTAGGAATTGTCCATGCACACGCACTTAATTCCACATGAAACAGGAGGCAACATAAAGCAGCCTATGCCTTTTCCTTGCAAGCCAACACAACCAAAACCATGCTGCACAGGCTCAGCGTGAGCACAGTAACCTGTTACCGTTACCCCTGGACCTCTGAGCAATGTGTATGGAATGGAGCTGCTTTGAAAAACTTAGTGTCTAATCTGTAGTTAATTGAATTAGTGAGTAGCATAGAACCTTCATACTGAGCTTCATACATAACAAACTGCACACTGGGTTTCAATAGCAAGAGCGAGGCCGACAGGTTGATGGAAGTGGTTATTCTCCTCTAGCTAGTACTTGTTAGGTCATATCTGAAATACTATGTCCAGTTTTGTGCCACGTTGACAGTACAGGAAAGGCGTTCGCAACCTGGAGAGAGTCCAGCTGAAGTCCAGCAAGAAGGTTTTGGTGCTGGAGCGGATGATATAAAAGGAGGGGTTGAGGGAAACGGTTTGGTTAACCTGGAGAAGATTAGAGGGAGATCTTATTGCCATTTTCCGATATCTAAAGGGGTGATACAGCGAAGCTGGAGGACAACTCTTCTCAGAAGTGCACAGCAAAAGGAGAAGAGGCAATAAGCACAAGTTGTGACAAAGGAAAAGGTGGAAAAGGACAAAGCAAAAATATTTTTTAAATGAATGACTAAACACTGGAACAGGTTGCTCAGACAGTAAAATCTTTGGTAAGACTAGATTTTGTTTGATAAAGCTGACTGCAAAGAAATAAATTCATCCACAGTGTTTTACTCAGGACCACAAAATATTCACATAAAACATACTTCATTACACTACTTCAATAAAAAAATATAATGTGTATTATGAGCTGGCTAAGTATTAGAGCCCAAAATTTGGTTTTCAAATGAAGAAACATCAATATGTGATTACATGTAATCATTCAACCCTTTCACCAGTAATCTGGAAGTAAAAATAACATTGCTGATTATCACTCGCAACACCAGAAATATTAATGGATGGGTGAATAACTACACAGAGTATGAGACAGTTTCTTAATAGCCTGGGATTGTTCGCATACAAAGAATTTAATAATGACAAACAGAGTTATATAAGAACAGTACTAGAAAGGTGATTTTACTTCTGCAACAGACTGGTAAAACTGATATTCCCTAGGTTCCAGTGGTCTGTATAAAAAGAAAGCTGGAAAATCATCTGGGATACTGAAGGGAGCCACAAAAATGAGTCAGGCATTCATTCGAACAAAAATACTTGACAACAAGCAGCATAAAGAACTAAATATGTTTTGTCTATCAAAAAGACAGTTTGAGAAATGGCTTGATTACACAGTGTAGGAGTTTTCAAAACACTGTTAAAGAGCTCTTTCATTCATCAGAGAAAGGCCTAATAAAAGGCAGTGGCCATTTAGGGATGGAATTTAAAACTGTTACCGTAAATAGCATATCATTGTGTTTCTGTCCAGTGAAACCAACAAGCTATTAATAATGAAATGTCCAGGCCTATCTGTTATATCCCAACAGAAGCTAGCCTTAGTCTATAGGGCTACACTCTGGAGGAGAAAGGACGTGGCTGTAGGCTGCTGAACTATCACAGAGGAAGGTTTGAACATTAAGTCCTTACTATATCATCTAAGTATTAACCCTGATAGTCATGTTCCAAACTGACTATTTTCTGCTACCATAGTAAAAGAACACTTAATTCTCCATAGAGCTCACTTTGTATTCTCCAACCAGCTCCAACTGGAGAATCCTTTTTTCCTCTCTTTTTCTAAAATTCACTACTTAGCATTGCAAATGTAGAGTGGATGAATTTGTTGGCAGGAAAAGTCAGCCCTTTACATGCAATTTGTAATAGTCACTCTAGGACTTTTATAGCCCTACAGGGAGATGTCCCATACATATTCAAATATTACTCGAACTCACCAGGAGTGCAACCAGCCTCATCAATACCACTTTCACAGTCCTTCTGCCCATCACATCTCCAGGACGACGGGATACATTTGTTGCTTAAGTCTCCACAGCTAATTTTTTCAGCTGGACATACTTGCTTGGCTGGAAGAATAAAATAAAGAAAAAAACACAAGTTAATTATAATTCTTGACATTGCTAACATTGTTTGCACTTTTAAAGTTACTTTTATTTTGTATGGCTCAATCCTGAGACACACTGTAATGAAATGCCAAGTCAACACTGATTTTGAGGCATGGCTGCTTAAATGCCCTGTACGTATTCCCCAAAAGAGATCACAATATTTTTACATTTAAAAAAAAAAAAAAAAAAAAAGAAGGATGGGGGATAAAAGACGTGCCACTGTTTATTTCAACAAAATCCCAGAAACTTAACTTTAACTCAAAGGAATTAGGGAAGAGGAACAAAAGCCAGATCCATATGCAACTTCTACCTAGCATTTCCTTGCAGGCAGGCTCTTGCTTTTTGGCCATCCCAGTGACCCTGAGTTGCAATAAACTGTGCGTAGGCTCTGTAGCTCTTCACACAGTCCTGGGGCCCAGTGGCCCTTTTCCACCTTCTCCTTGCCATCTCAGCCTGCGTATGGGCAACTTTGTGCTGCCTCTTGAATCAGGTCTCCTTGCCCAGGCTTTCCCAGAAACAAGGACCTTCCTGTCCTTCCAGGCTGTGCCTGACCCAGCTGATCCCTTCCAGGAATATAACTGTACAGAAACATGCAAATAAAACAAATACCACCCCTCTTATTTTCAAGCTTAACTCAAACTGACAGAGTTGCTTCAATAGACCAACAGGGATTTCAACTAAGATCCTTGGGCTGGTTGAAGGACTGGAATACTCAGCGTGAGCAATGCTCAGTACAGCACCAGTGCTGCCTGTTTGTGACAGCCTCAAACCCCCAACACACTGGGCTTTTGCTATTAAACACTAGCACCCTACACACAGCAGCAGTAGTACTGGGCAAACTACTCTGAAAATACTACCTCAAATTAAGTCAGGAAAACCAAATCGCCTGATTTTAGTATAAGGGTTTACTTATGTGTTTGGTAATGCAAGGCAATTTCTAAATTTAATAATCTAGGCAGATTACGGTCAGTAAACCTGGGGGAAAAGTGGCAAGCACAAGCATAAACTCACACATGTGAAACAAACTTAACTGTGACTACCTAAGTCAAAGGCAACTGTGATCTAAGACATGGAGACACAGGAAGACCTGCAGAAGCAAAACCTCCAGTACATGCAGGTATACAACTATGAAAAAAAACCCTGTGAGATTTATCTGGAACCAAGTAAGCTGTGAAGCTTGTTCTCTTATTTTGCATTACCAAAATTACTTTTTTTTTTTTTTTTTTAAATACTAGTGTAAAGAGCAACAGATCTACATTCATTGGGACAAGGCTGCTTGAATGCATAATATTCCACAGTTTAAAGAATTGTTTAGTATTCTGGAATCATCACCCAGTTTAGCAGCATTTGCTTATTAAACAGACCAATTTCTCTCTTTAAAAAATTACATGTTTTCAAATAGTTCTTCTATTGCTATTAATGATGATAACACTATATATGGCTGCAGGTGTACTGAAAAAGGACTAACTTAAATTCTGAATTAAAACTACCTTTACCAGGGCAGGGTAAAGTGAAAGATGTTTATGCAAAGTCAATCAGCTTCCCAAGTACTCAGCAAGAGAGGATGAAAATTATACTTCTCTCCCTTTCCACTTGCACAAGAAGGCTGTAGAGGGGCATGTTAGAGCCCCAAAGCATCAATCAGCCATTTAGAAAGCAGTGCCATTTAATCCCAGGATTTCTGCTTTAGCACCTTGAAGTGCTTTAAGAAGCAGTGGCCAACCCAGTATCAAGAAAAATTAGATCCAGCTACAGACAGACAGTTAATAACAGATACAATGAAGTTTTATAACCCTGAGGCAAGACAGCACTTTTGTTGAAATTTGCTCACTGCATACCTAAATAACATTTATGAATGTTGCATGATCTACAGAGTTGGGCGAAAGAAGGGATCCTTACTTAGGCTTTTAAATTATTTTACCAGCAGGTCAGTAATAAAAATCACCTGACATTGGAAAGGCTCTGCAACAACACCCCACTGGGATCAACATGTCTGCCAGCTCGGGCCAGTGCCCCGCCACAGGCCAGCACCCATGTCCTGGATTTTCCCCTCAGCCCCGGTCCCTCTAAGCTGCGTGTTTCTAACGCACAACTGCAGGGATGCTTGGTGGTGCCGAGCCCTCACGTCCTGCCACAGAAGTCAGACAGCACGTCTGAAAAGCAGGTCACTTGCCAACTGTGAAAATGGCATCAAACAAGGTGCTCGCCCTCACCCTTGGGGAAGGTGGCACGCCTTGCTGCGGCCGAGCAGCTCCGGACACCATCCCCAGAGCTGTATGCTGGGGTGCACCATCACGCATACAGAGAAAAATCAAATTCTGTGGCAGATGATTAGCAACCAGCAGCCCCCTCAAACAAGAAAAAATGGAGCCAAAATGGTCATCTGTTTGGCCTAGAGGCACCGCAGCCCCTCAGCACAGAGGGCTCACACCCCCAAAATACTGCTTCTACCAGCCTTACCTAGCCCTCACACACATAGGTGTGAGTCTGGGGAGTGCTGCGTGGAAAAATAGTCACTTAGCTGCACTTTTTTATATATATAAACCTCTGTACAGAGCCACATAGGACTCCTGACTGCACTCTGGCAGGAGGAGCCAGCAGGGGCGAGGGAGGGAAGGCGCCGGGGCCTCACTCACTGCCATCAGCCCCTCTGAGGAGAAAGGCGGCAGCTCTGAGGAGCAAACAGCAACTTCTGGGAAAGGGACAGGGATGGCCACAGGCCACGTGCATGAGGCAGCACAGGAGGCCTGAGGACCTGAGAGAGGCACAACTCCTGGCTGCAGGGAAGGGACCCCAACCCCAGAAGCAGGGCTGCCTTGTCTTCTGAGGGACCCGCCAAGCAGTGCTTGGGCTTTTGGCCACAAATACCATACAGAGGGATGACATGACTGGGGTCTCCAGCATTCCTCCATCAAGGCCTCCAAAGCTTCTCAGCTCTGAGGTGTGCAGCAGTACAGCCACCAAAACCCAGCTGCCCCCTCAAACATCTTCACCACCAAACCCCGGCTGCTGAGGAGCTGCTGCAGAGGGCCAGGCTGCTGGAGGCTGCTGCTGGGACAAGGAGTTCACAGCTCCCCCCACCCTGCACGTGGCTGCGCAAGATAGAGCCAGAGCCGCTCACACCCGGCTGAGCCCCTCTTCTCCCCCCAGTCCATTCCAGGTTGGGTCCTGGGATGAGGTTTGCTTCTAGGCCACCCCATGCTCTAAACAGTTTTTACCATAAGCAAACACACACTTAGAATACATGAGATAAAAATAGCTTTCCTCATGGGATTTATTACTCCAAATGGATTTCCATGCTTTTGCACTTTGCAAGTTTGTCTCCTGTCTGCATTTGCACAGTGCATTCAATAACAAGGTTTGCATTGCACTGGCATACTAGTAAAAATGGGAGACCAAAAAAACTCACAGCGACATTTGCTAATGAGATTATGGGTCCACATCCCCAAAAAATTCTTCTAGTTGCTCTTGCTCAGGCTACAGGAAAGGAAATTTGTTTTGATGCCAAGTAGGACCAGATTTTTCATCCTTGTAGCAAATCTCCATCGAGAACTAAGTGGGTCAAGACAGGTGAGAACACTTTCCACGCACCTGATTGTGAAAAAGGTGAAATATAATTATAAAATGGTATCATAACACAGTGGGATCATTAACCAGCAAAAGGTTATTTATTTGTCACAGTGTAAGTACGGGCATTACTTTTGCTTGGCTGCTACGGGCAGATGCTTAATAGCTTTGGGAAGCTGAAAGGTTTAGCAAGGTATGGACGGAAGACTCCTATTTATGGAAAGCAATCTCTGTGTTAATCATCTGTCTGACAGAGTAATTACAGACATTTAAAAAACATAAATCAAAGCTTGAACTTGCAGGGATGGAGCAACATAAGCTGCTGTTGGTCACAGTTCATCAAATCTCTGCATTCCAGTGATTTCTGCATCCAAGTAATCGTTGCATGGAAGCTAACAACTTGTAAGCACTGGCAGATAACAGATAGAAGATCTTGCATAAAATTCAAAGCAAAATTTTGATGAAAATACTTCTGCATTATTTCAGCAAGCTGGGTTTGGCCCCATGCTCCCAAGTGCTGCAGCAGTGCAAGCGGTGGTGTCCATGCTATGAAACAGGCTTTTAGCAACTGCAATCCAGATTTAATGTTTCTGTTTCTGCACACTGCTTCCACAAACCCAGGCCTATTGGGCTTACACGACCAAAATGTTTACTTCCTACATTCCTCTTCATCCACCCAGAAAGGAAAGGGTTAGCACTGTACATGACGGTGAATGCTCTTACCCTGGATATATTCTGGACCAATGCGAGTTATAGCAAGATCTGCCTTTTCAGAGAAGCACCATTAAACAACTTGGTTGAAATGTCAGACACATCAAGACCAATTTATCACAATGAACTGCAAATGCCAAGGATGGACAACAATGGTTTATTTATAAGGAGACAAGAGCAAAGAAGACAAGAAGGTTCCATTTACTCAATACTGCCAATGGCACATTCTTCTTTTTCTTTACAGGAGGCTACAAAGTCTTTCAGAGAACCATAGAGCCTAACTGGCGCCCCACTGTTTGCTTCCTCTTGTGCCACTGCTGTGCTTTTCAGGCTCCGGACATCATGTATATTCAAGAAAGCCCAAGAAAACAGAATTGATTTACTTTCAGAAGACCATTTGTCAGGTTCTCACCAAACAGGTACTCTAAAAGCATACACAAAAAGTAATTAAGCGGCTTCTACTGGTGGGAAACCCAAAAGACTTTTCATCATCAGACTGAAAAGAACACCCTTTGTGGAAACACATCATCTTACAGGTCTGAACGGTTTCTCTATATCTGCTGAAAAACTCTGCATTGTCTCCTGACTGCCCCCCATGTTTTTCCCAGGTTCTTCAGAAGGAAAATCCCAACCCAAAACTTCATTCTGCTGCAGAGAAAATACCATACTGAAATGGTTTAATT